ATACCACATGTTCTCACTCATTGGTGGGAGCTAAAAAATAAACAAATTAATTCACCCACAAGCACACACAATAAAAACCGGGGGGGGGGGGGGGGAAGAAGATATAACAACTATACTTTTTTGAAGTTGTTACAAGAAGCAAATGGAAAGGACATTCTTGGGGGGGAGGGGAGAGAGGGAGGAGGGCGGGAGGTGTCGGTGATGGGCCATAATAATCATATACATTGTATATTGACAAAATAAAAATTTAAAAATAAATAAATAAATAAATAAATAAACCTCAAAAAAAAAAGGGGGGGGGGTGCCAGATCCAGCTTAAAAAAAAAAAGAAAAATTCAGCTCTGATATGCTGCTACCCCAATGGTGAGTGTTGAATGAGTTATTGCCCTCTATCATGGCTTTTACGTCAGAGCAAGTGACTTCTCAGAGGGAAAAGCCAAGCTCCAGACAAGGAGTGTCATTAGCCCCATGGGAAGAGCCAATAGATACACAGGCCATAGGTACCAGGCTGCACAGAGTCCTTATGGGCATCTGTGTGGGGAGGCCTTCTAGAAATCTGATGTTAGAAGCTGGGACTCATGGTTCTGAGTGCCTTGCATACAGGAGATGCTCAATAATACTAAATCAAAGCTCATAAACAAATACTGGGTAAATCATACCTACTGGGATAAAAGAGTAATACAGCTTTTTTTTTTCCCCAGCTACTAATTTACATTATTTCAAAAATCTGCGTGTATGAACTATCTTATTTTTGGTTTTTAGAGCTTAAAAAGGTACTGGCTCTTCATTCCTGTTTATCATCTGCACACCAAATGAATTTTTGAAATAAATGTTTTACTAGCCCTTATGACCTTGTCTGCCTGATCTCTGTGTTTTGGGGAGAAAGAAGGTAAAATATGAGGAATTCTCCTGAGTTAGACCCAGGTCAAAGTCTCTCTATTAAAGTGGAAAGCCACTTTCTCATTGCATCTCTTAGAGGGGAAGAATCAGATTTCAGGAGACTGAAGTTCATTTTACTTTATTAGGAATTAATCAGAAGACTAAAATTGATCAACAGTGGATGAAATCCATTTTCCAGCAGCAGTTCTCCCTGAATGTCTCAGTCAACCACATGGGTGGTTTTGATTGAAGATTTAACTTCTTAAGGGGTTATCCAGTGCTGAGTGGGAAGCATAAGCCGGGCCTTGGCCAGTGCCCACAGCTGTTCCTAGTCTGCTCTGGGCCCTGTGAGAGAATCTCCAGAGGCAGCCCTTGTGGCTGGCGTGGCCTGGTGTCCAAGGCGGCCAGGGCCCTCTCACCGTCACTTCTCCACTTAACCCTGGAGTACCAGTGACTTCCAAAGGCTTGATGGTTCTTCATTCTACATTATATTAAAACACAAACAACCCCAGATAAAAGGAGACTAAAGAGACATGACAACTCAACACAACAGCTGATTCTGGCTTGGATATTTTTGTTATAAAAGACACGGTTGGGGCAATTTGCACAGATTGAATCGGGTCTGAAGTGTAGCTGGGAGTAAGATGCCGATGTTAATTTTTGGTTTCAGTTTGTACTGAAGACACTGAAGTATCTGGGGGCAATGGGGCATCGTGTCAGTTTACTCTCAAATGGTTCTTTGTACTTACAAATTTTGCATAAGTTTGAGATGGTTTTGGAATTTATAAAAATAATTATTTTTAAAAACTGACATGCTCTCTCCTCCTGTATCTGTCATTGCTTCTTTTCCAGAAAGTAAATTTCTTCTTCTAGGCAGTGAACAGAGACCCAGGTTCAGATCATAGATCTGTTATTGATGAGGTTTGTGATGCTACGTAAGACTTCACATCCCTGAGCCCCCAGCTTCTCATCTGTGAAATTGGGATGGCAACAGT